CCGACATATGCTCATCTTGCTTCCGCCTCTTTAAAAATTCACTGACTCTGACAAAATCGTTTTCCTGATGTCTAAACTCCCCGTTCATCCCACGTGGCCCCATTAAGCCCCTGCATCTCTGTGCCCTGCGATTGTTTTAACACTTAGTCCCCTGCCTGGGGAATGGGTGGTTCTCTCCACGCTGCTCGCTCTCTCAGGTCTCAGCAGAGAAAGCAATATTTTGTTATGAGGTAAAGTTTCAAGTCATACTTGGCCAGGGTCTTTCCCATCTGGGAGGCCAAAAAGAGCGAGCAGCCAGCAAGACGATAATTCTCCTTGAATTCTCGCGCATTAAAATCCCCTCTTGTCTTGCTGGGTTGTTTAGTGATTTAGCTTCCCGCACCAACGTTTCCTTTCCAGAGAGAATCAGCGTCGAGGTTGTGCTCATTGTGAAGGGAGCAGATACTTGTCTGTCCTCTGTGGGATTCATGGTCCCCCGGTTACTTATTAGCACCATTCGTTTAAGAGCTGTGTGTGCGTATCTGATTGAATGAGACTTCCGGGGTTTATGAGTAATGAAAAGAACAGGTTGTAGCAGAGGCGCCATGTGCAGTGAATGAAGTGTTCTTTGGGGGTTTGTGTTTGTGGGCTATTTCCACAATGAACATTTCAGTCTTGTTCATATTAAACACTTTTTTTTATACCTGCTGAGCATGGTCTGTTTTTCTATTGTGTGTAAAAATCAAGCAAAATGGTGGTCCTTGTCTGCAAATGTTTTGCAACGAGCTTTAAAATGTTATTTCTTCTGATGGTGACTGTGGTTGAGTTAGGAGTCCTGGGGGTACATTGGATGAGTACTTGGCTATACACTGAAAAATCAGTAGTTCAAACTCACCAGCCCTTCTTCCTCTCTGCAGGAAAACAATGAGGTGGCTTCCATCAGGATTTACAGCCTGGGGACCCTACCTCCTGTTGGGTTGCACTGAGTCAGAATCTACTCTTTGGCAATGAGATTTTTAAAAAGGAATACTTGAATTTCGGAGGGACCGGTCCTTGCAGAGGGACATCATGCTTGGGAGGGTGGAGGGACAATGCAGGAGGGGAAGGCCCTCTGTGAGGTGGGTTGATTCAGTGACTGGGGTAATCAGGATGGGAGTGTCAGAGACAGTGTGATTGGCACAGGACTGAGCAGAGTTTGGGGCTGTTGTACATAGAGTCACTGTGAATAGCAAGTGACTCGATGACACATAACAACAACAGCATCAGCTTGAATTTTTAATAGGGGAATGTGTAAATGAAGAAATAATTTTTTATGGAGATGTTTAAAAATTCTTTTAACATTTTCCTCACTCCTGGCATCACTGCAGCTATGTTTAGATGGCACACACAGCTTCCCAGACAGGGTGGCTAATATTCTTATTATTAATAGTTTGTTTCGCTTTAAGAAAGATAATGACTCTGTAGCACAGCAAAAGATACCACTCAGCCAGTGATTTCAGCAGGATTCCCCCCCCCCACTTTCCTTTATTTAATTTAATAAAGTAGATTAATTGACTGCAACACCATTGAGGTATACTCTTGTAATAACTGTCTTAATACAGGGAAGTCCTGAAAAGCATTGAGTATGTTTTGTCTAATTAGGGGTACAGGGACTGCACCAGTGGACTTCAGTACAGCGGGGTCTGTGAGTTTGGCACAGAGCTGAGCAAGTTTGCCTTCTGTTGAATTTATGGTTCCTTGGAGTTGGAGCCACTTAACAGCCTCAGACTACTGTGGTCCAGAGTTTTCATTGGATGATTTTCAGAAGTCCATGGTGATTGAAGTTGTCAACAATTTCATTTTACTTGGATCAATACCCATGCTACCAGTAACCAGAAAATCAAAAGACGTGTTGTTGCATTAGGCAAATCTACTGTCAGGGATCTCTCTAGAGTGCCGAAGAACATTTGTTTAAAGACTAAGGGCACCTGATCCAAGACATAGTATTTGCATTTGTTTCGTATACATCTGAGAGGTGGACAATGAGTAAGGAAGCCTGAAGAGGAAGCAATGCCTTTAAATGGTGGTCTTGGCCAAGAGTATGGCCTATCCCATGGACTGCCAAGGGCACAAGAAAAGCTTGGAGGAAATGCAATGCAAGGACAGTGCAGCCCTGCACCTGCTCACCAGTCTATGCCAAGAAATTTGGAAGACAGCTGCCTAACCACCTGGCAGAAAGAGATCCATGTTTGTTCCCATTCCCAAGAAAGATAGATGATCCAGTATGGAGCTCTCTTGGCCTAGTGGCAAGAAGCTGAGCTGGAATTCCAAAGGTATGTGGTTCGAGGCCTCCAGCTACTCAACAGGAGAAGGATGAGTAACCTCCTCTTGTGATTTACGGCCTCGGAAAATCTACTGGAGGGTCTGCGATGGGTCAGTTCCAACTGAATGGTACACACAACATCAGCAGCAACATTTCCCAAGTATGAGAGACAAAGCTTCATTATCTTTGCCTCCAAAGAACACTCTGGCTGCACCCTTTCCAAGATACATCTGTTTGTTTTTTTTGACAGTCCGTAGGATAATCAACACACACAGTTCAAAGAACTTAATTCTTCTGGCATCCTTATTCATTGTCTAGTTCTCAAATGCATATCAAGTGATGGGAAAGACCATGGCCTGAATCAGGTGCACCTTAATCCTCAAAGTGACATGATTGTTCTTCAATAAATTGGAGAGGTTCCTAACTACAGGCTTATCCAGTGCAATATGTCTCCTAATCTCCTGACTGCTGGTGCCAAGTGTATTGATTGTAGGTCCAACTAAGATGAACTCATTGACAGTTTTAGTCTTTTCTCCATCTGTCCTGATGTTGCCTGTCAGTCCAGTGGTGAGAATTTTTGTTTTCTTGCCTTTGAGATGCAATCCAAACTGAAGGCTTTAGTGTTTGATCTTCTGTAGCAAGTGCTTCAAGTCCTTCTCACTTTGAGCAAGCAAGGTTGTGTCATCTGTTTATCAAAGGTTGTTGATGAGTCTTCCTCCAATCCTGATTCCACATTCTCCATAGAGTCCAGCTTCTCAAACAGTTTGCTCAGCAGTCTGTATTGGAGAGAGTGAAACCAAGTTTCTCCTTGGAGGCAAGCATTTTGAAGCTCTGGGCTTCTCACATACTTTGGGCATGTAGCTATGAGGGACCAGTACTTGGAGAACAACATCATGCTTGGAAAGTGGAGGGACAGTGGAGGAGAAGAGTCATTACCCCAAATGAAATGGGTTGGCATAGTAACTGGGGTAATAAGGGCAAGCATGTCAGAGACATTGGGATTGGCTCAGGAGAGGGCAGAGTTCAGAGCTATTATACCTAGGGTTGTTGTGAGTCATAGCTGACTTGATGGCACATAACACCAATAACATATAGATTAAGTAGCTTTGGAGTAAAGATACAATCCTGACACACAACCTTTTCTGATTTCAAACCATTCAGTGTTTGCTGGCTCTGTTCACACAGTATCCCCTTGATCTAGGTAAAGGTGTTGCATGAGTACAATTAAGTGCTCTGAGATTCCTATTCTTCACAATGTCAGCCATAATTTGTTATGATCTACACAATCAAATATCTCTCCATAGTCAGTAAAGCACAAATAGACATTCTTCTGGTATTTTCTGCTTTCAACCAGGATCCATCTGACATCTGCAGTGATATCCCTGGTGTCACGGCCTCTTCTAAATCCCACTTGAACTTCTGGCAGCTCCCTGTCCGTGTACTGTTCTAGCCTTTTGTGAATGAGTGTCAGCACTATTTTGTTTGTATGTTGAGGACTGTAGACTTGGAACCGACCCTTAGCTGACTCCACAGTGTGTTTTCAGAGGCGGTTAATTACTTGGGAGGAGATTGGCCCTCCTTTATAGTGTCTGGTGGATTTGAACCACGTGCCTTTGGGATTGCAGCACGACTTCTTGCCACTAGGCCACCAGAGGTCATAGTGGTGTTTGATAATTTCCATATTCTTTTGGTTTACTTCCTGCCAGTTAGCTAGGCAGCTGTCCTCCAGATTTCTTGGCGTAGACTCTTGAGCAAGTCCAGGGCTGCACCTGCTCTCCTAGGAACATCCATCCACCCACTCCTTATTTTATCATCCAAGTTAGATCCTACGGTCAGTCATTATGCAAAAATCAGCCTTGTGCAAAACTACAGCAATCCAATGTTACTTTGGTTCCCAGAGTCATTTCAAGAGCACCTGTGTCGTTGTTTTCTCCCCTGCAGCTGGCCGCCTTTGTGGCACCAGCAGCTGGTTCTTCTTGCTGTGACATCAGGCAGGTAGACCAGCCTGTGGCATTTCATACTAGAAGTTGGGCTGTTTGAATTTGCAGTCAGGAGAGAACGCACCCTCCCCTGACCCCCATGAAGTTCTTGTTCTCCATGGAGAGGCCCACCCACCCAGGATCGCTGCATTCTGGCTTCCTCTCCTCCGTGTACACACATGGTGAATTTTAGGTTCTGCTGCACAGTGATCCTTATCTATCCTATCTTCACCCTTTCCTGCCGTCTCTTAAATTCACAGCCTGCTGTGGATAGCAGCGCAGCTACTCTCCTGAAAGCCAGCTGGGGTTTGGCGAGGCAGCAGCATAGGCTGGTCCCGTTACTAACTCAAGGCCCCGGGATTTAGCCTTTAAAAAAAAAACAAACAAAAACACACCAAAACCAACAGTAATACAACAAAACTTTATTTGCATCCAAGACTGAGGAAAGTGTCAGGATAGGAGGGATCAAGGCCTTGTCAGGAATGAAACACTCTCACCGTGGATCCTTACCTATCTTTAAGGTTCTTGAAGTGGGCTTTTTATTGTTGTGAATGCGAACTGTCAGGTGCCAAGATCAAGTAGCCAACTAAGTCTACTTGAAAGGAATTGGTGACACAGTTTTTCAGTGATGGTATGGAACGGTGATCGCTACCATTTACACTGCAGAACTTGACAATATTGAATCCTGTCTTTATGCTCCAGATTAAAATGTGCTTTCTTTTCTTCTTCTTTCCTTTTAGCTTCATGAGGCTGAGATTGTGGTGTTAGGCTCTCCCAAGCCAGAAGACATCCCCCTCAGTTGGATACAACCAGGGACGACAGTTCTCAATTGTTCCCATGACTTTCTATCAGGTAAATGTCTTTAAGATGGGACAGGTAGCTGACAGAAGTGGCCAAGGTTAATTATGAGGAGTATTTGCCTCTCTATTTAGAAGGATTGTTTTCCTCAAGTTCAGGCAGTTGTCAATGTAAGTAGATGGTGTAGTGTTGTTTTTAAATGCTGTCGAGTATGACTCATAACAACCCGGTGAGCCCTGTGTCCTGACCCCTGCCCTGTCCCGTGCCATTCTCAGCACCTCTGACACACTTGACCCCGGTGTTAAAACCACTATGTCCATCCAGCTGGTTGAGGGTCTTCGCTCTTTCGCTGATCCTCCATCTTTCTAAACGTGTCATTCTCCGAGGAGTAGCTTCTTCTGTCAACGTGCCTTGCTTGCTGAAAGTGAGAAAGACTTGAAGCACTCATTGCAGAAGATCAAGGAATGCAGCCTTCGGTATGGATTGCGTCTCAATGTCAGGAAAACAAAGATTCTTTCCACTGGACCAATGGGCAGCATCATGATGGATGGAGAGGAGATTGAAACTGTCAACAGTTTCATCTTACAGTTAACACCTTTGGTACCAGTAGTCAGGAAATCAGGAGACACATTGCAATGGGAAAATCTGCAGTTAGGGACCTTTCCAAATTGTTGAGGAGTAATGACGTCAGTCAGGAAGTGTGAAGATGGCACAGGATACGACAGAGTTCAGATCTGCCGTTCATAGGGTTGCTATGAGTCGTACTCGACTTGATGGCACCTAACAACAATGGCACCTTAGAATGTTGTCATGCATACACTCAGGGGTTGTTAAATTCAGTAAGCGGCACAAGCCCAGGTCCCATCATCTGTAGGGAGCTGTAGTGGTAACTCAAGGCAAATACTCCCTGGAAATTCATATCCACCAGCACCTCTGGGGGAGACAGGTGGGCAGGCTCTTCCACGTGGTTTACCAGCTTCTCCACACCTTTTCAACCTGTATGCAAAACAGATTACCCGGGAGGCTGGGCTCTATGAGGAGAAGTGTGGAGTTAGGATTGGTGAAAGATCTGTTAACAACATGCGTTATGCAGATGACACAACCATGTTTGCTGAAACTGAGGAGGACCTGAAGCTTTTGCTGCAGAGGGTCAAGGACTGCAGCCTCCAGTATGGATTGAGGTTCAATGTCAAGAAGACAAAGAGTCTTGCCACTGGGCCAATTGGTAGCATCAGGATGGATGGTGGAGAGATTGAGATTGTTAACAACTTTAGTTTGCTTGGGTACACAGTCAACACCCTTGGCACCAGTAGCCAGGAAATTAATGGACATACTGCGATGGGAAAGTCTGCTGTTAGGGACCTCTCCAAAGTACTGAAGAGCAGTGGTGTCTCTCTGGAGACTAAGGTGCGTCTGATACAGGCCATGGTCTTTGCTATCACTTGTTACACATTAGAGAGTTGGACAATGACCGGGGGGGATAGAAGGAGAATTGATGCCTTTGAGCTGTGGTGCTGGAGAAAAGTATTGAGAATACCATGGACTGCTAGGAAAGCAAGCAGATTCATCCTGGAAAGGGTCAATCCTGGTGGCTCCTTGGAGGCAAGGATTCTGAGCCTCCGTCTAACATACTTTGGACATGTTGTAAGGAGGGACCGACCGGTCCTTGGAGAGGGACATCATGCTTGAGAGGGTGGAGGGAAGATGCAGGAGGGGAAGGCCCTCTATGAGGTAGATTGACTCAGTGACTGGAGTAATTGGGATGGGAGTGTCGGAGACAGTGCTGTTGGCACAGGACAGAGCAGTGTTTAGGGCTGTTGTACATAGGGTCATTTTGAGTAGCAAGCGACTCGATGGCACATAACAAGAACAACAAAAGTCCACTGGAGAAAAATGAAAATGTCAGTTCCAGTAGCCGTTTTCCTTGCCCATCTTGGAAGCATCCTAAGAAGCATGGCTCTAGCATCCTGTAGTCAAGTCAGTTGTACATATGCTTCCACAGAGAGTACTGTTGTTAAGCACTAGACTCCTGTAAGGAACGCTGAAGGTTTCTACCCACTCAGTTTGGCTCAGGATTGAGAATCATGTGATTCTCGATGTCTTGACAGTGCTATGTCATGTGATTTAACAGTCATGTCATGAAGTAATTTGACAGTTGTATAATGATGTCGTCACCTACTTTGATCATTCTCCAATTTTCACATACCTTGTCCTTGGACTGTACTCATGTCTATAATGGAGAAGTAGATATGTTTTCATGTAACATTTATGGCAGTAAAATGATTACAGTTAGTTCATTTTATATCTATTTGGTCCAGATAATGGTTAAGTAGTTGGTGCCCAGAATAGTGCCTGACACATCTTAAGCCAAGTTAATTCCACCTCGTAGCATTTTAAGTTAGTTCGGATTTAGAAATACTTCCTTGAACTGTTTCCTGATTGAAACCAGGGGTGATAAAACAGCTATTGAAACACAAATGAAGAAAAATGAACATAACTGCTTACAATAGCAGTGTTATTTCTAAATATTCAGCATTTTCAGTATGGAAATATCCTCTGTGAATGTTTTTGAGAAAAATGACTTGTCTTCTTTCTTGCTCCCACTCTCTTTTTTTTATAAACTTGCTATTTAAAAGACATGAGTAGACTTTTTCAAACCTTATTAACAGAGAAGGTATTTATATGTAAACTTCAGCTCAGGAGAAGAATTTTTAATAAACTTTTGTTTGGGTGAAGGCAGATTTTAATGAAATTTTCAATTCTCAGTTTAGTGGTACAGGGAATTTTACCCCCTTGTAAAAATCGATGGGCTAGAATGATTTATGATGAGGTAATTCTGTAGAGACAGTTTATTGAATACCTAATCCCAGGAGAAATTTTCCCGATGGCTGATATCCCAGAAGTTGGGCTTAGAAAACAATTATACTCAACCTGTTGGATCTGCTCTTTTATTGCATTAGTTTAATGGCTGAATTTGAAAACAGGTAGGTTTTAATGGTTCCCTCTCAAGCTGTGTTAAGAATTTTGTTAATAGCTTCTCATTATGTTGAAATTATTGTTGAGATAATGTAATCTCACAAATAGTTGTATAAATTCTCAGGGGAGCTCCTGTGGCCTAGTGGCAAGAAGCTGCACTGCAACCCTGGAGGTGTGTGGTTCAAATCTACCAGATGCTCTGCTGGAGAAGGAATGACCATTTCCTCCTGTGCCAGTCAAATCTAATTTGATGGGACACACACACAAAATAACAAATAATTGTATAAATTCTCAAAATAGATGGAGATACAGAGCTCATATCAAATACCATATTGTTTCTGTAGTTCAAAATAGCAATGTCTCATATTAGCCAAGTTCTGTTGTATGCAAAGTTAGGGCTGAAACTATGAGTGGAATTATTTACTGTGTCACTGTACATGGCATAGTCTTCATTCACTTGGGTATTTGTAACAATTTATTTGGAGAACATGTATTTATAAACTAATGCTGGCTTTTAAAATGCAGGGAGTTTTTGTTGTTGATGTTTTTGGTTTTGTGTGTGTGTGTGTGTGTGTGTGTGTGTGTATGTGTGTGTGTTGTATTTTTGTTTGTTTTTCTTCCTCTTTTAAAAATGGAGATAAGAATGGGAAGCATATTTCTTTCTCGTAGTTATTGGATAAAGGCTTATATTAATTCCATCATGGTAAAACAAAACAATACTCATCTCTCACATTCTCCAGCCTTTTGGCTTTTCCCTAAATATAATTTATAAAACTGAAGTGTTGTTAATCTTTAAACAGTACCCAAGGGAAACGGTTTCCAACACTCTTAATACATTTGACAGTAGAACATCATAAAGCATGTACTCATGAGAATTTTGTGCTTTTTTTTTTAATAGCACTGTCAGCAAAATGGATTAGTTAACAGTAAAATGATCCAAAAAAGAAGAAAAGGAGTATTTTTTAAAAAAATTCATCTTTGTCCATTTTTATTTCAGACTCCATGAGATAAAAGAGGCCCACCTACGTAGCAGACATATTTTCATCTTTTACAATCATTTCTGTTCACTTACGTTCTCTGTTCCTAGAATAGCATCTAGTTAAGTAAAGGTTTAGTGTAGTCCTAGCAGGGTGCTTGATTTGTAAAATCATTAAAAGTATTTTTAAAATTTTATTTGTTTTTTTTTTGTTGTTGTTGTTGTTGTTTACTGTTGAGAATATCCACAGCATAACTTGTACTCTTTAGACCTGTACAGTTGGTGACCTTTGATAACATTTTTCAAGTTGTTAAACCATTCTTAACCCTTTTTCTGAGTTCTTTCTCCTTCATTAATATTAATCATTGCCCCCTGAGGTACCTGTACAATTTTTCAAGTTCCTGTTGTCACTTTGATTCAGTAAAGTGGTTCTTAAAAGAACATAATGTATAAGGCAAACATTTTTTCACTGGTTAAGCTTAACTGTTGTTTGCTTTGAAGAAGACTTCAGGGGTTATTTTTTGTTTCAAGTTTAAAAAATATCTTAGAACTGTAGTTTCAAGATTTCATTCAGCCTTCAAAGCTCCAGGAAGTCTGCATTCCATGAGAATTTTTAATTCTGTTCTGTATTTCCCGCCGTTGATCAGGATTTCTCTCTAAAATAAATATTTGATGAAAATGTTCAGGAATGGTGGCCAGACACCAGTGATTTCTTGACTTAGAAATGTTTCTTTTTGTCTAAGTAAGGCTAAATGCAACACATTTTCTTTCTTTATTTTGCATGTGTTTTTTAATTTTATTTTATTTTGCATGTGTTTTATAAGTGCCAACTAGAGAAATTCTCAAAGCCTTCTACATATGCCTTTAAATTTTGGAAACCAAGCTATCCTTCAAACTAATTTCTTAGTACATAACCTGTCAGTTTTGATGGAAAAGTGGTCAGATTACCTTTATGATGGGAAGTTTTTAAATTGTCCAAGTCTCACCTTTCAAATAACATGGGTTTCATTATATAGGATATGGAGCTCTGGTGGCCTTATGGTAAGGAATTGTGTGCCAAACTAAAGGGACACGATTTGAATCCACCAGCTGCTTCACAGGAGGAATGAACAATCTCTTCCTGTGCAATTAACTGCTTCTGAAAACTCACTGGAGGGCCAGTAGCGGATTGACTTCAACTTGATGGTTCATAGCAGCATAAAATAATGTTACGTAACATAAGATAGCATAGCATAGCATAGCATAGCATAGCATAGCATAGCATAGCAACATAACATAAAATAGGTGTTTCCTCTCCTTTCTGCTTTGTACTCACAAATGAAATTGCTTCTATTTCTGTGAATTATCTAGTAAAAATTAAATATACTGATAACAAAATTAAAGTACAATATGTTAGAAAATGAAATCGGTTAAGGTATAAATCTTACCGTTTATACTGTGAAATATTTCTCTGTTCTTCCAAGCAGTATTTTCACAGTAATTAGCACATTGCCGCAAATGACAGTAATCCAATGTAGAAAAAAAAAAAGGGTTTTGTAAGCATGGTCATCAATTTAAAAGTGTGCGGCAATGTGTTAAACACACACAACACAGATATACACACTCGCCATGTGCTTTACATACCTTTTCACATTTCACTAGAAAAACGCTATGACACTGATGGACACTTACTGCCGGTGAAGGGCTCCTGACTCCTAGCCGACCCTCCGTGTGTGTTTGGCGGCAGAGGGCACACGGGAGATGGCCTGTCTCTCTCCCGTGGTGTCTCTGGTGGGTTCTAAACCATGAGAGAGCTGTTGACTTTGGGTTAATAGCACCGCTCCCTGCGGGTCATGCTGACACATCTCCCTGATCATGTCGGGAGTAGTCATGTTATACTCTGTCTGAAGTCACAGTTGCTTCAAGAGGTGGAGACAGGATTATAATCCAGGTTGAACTCTTAAGTCGTTTGGCTCCATTCACCAGGCTGTCCTGCCTTGTAATTAGAATGTACCCGGTTGGACTTGTACTGCCATTTACACTTCTTTTAAAATGCCACATGATATGGAAATCATGATGGAATACTTGGTTTATTTAAAAGCAACCATGTGGTAGGCATTCTCTGATTTCAGCATGAGAAATTAGCTTGACCTAGTTCACACACGTTGTAGTGCTTATCCCAGGTTAGTGGCTAAGGAGGACTGGTCTGCTATAAAATATAGAATAAGCCCCACCAGAGTGAGGCTCTGCTGGGCCCCGAGACCCATCTGCGCTTGGGCCCTCAGACCTGTGCTTCTTGGGCTGGGAAGTGAGACTGTTATGCCACGTGCCCGCTTTATTTTATTGTTCGTACTTGCTGTCTAGCCAACAGCTGACCCTTGGTGAGCTTACGAAGAGTAGAATGAAATTCTGCTTAGCCTGAGCCATCTTCCACAGTATTGGTGTGTTTGAGCCCGTTGTTTTACTTCTGTCTGATGTAAAGTTTTGCTCATTTTTGCGGAACGCCCCCTATATTCCCCTTTTTGAAAGGAGCAGTTGGTTACATGTAACAATGCCTTGAGCGTCTTCCTCCACCTTGTGTCTGTTTCAGGGAAGCTTGAGTGTGAGTCTCCCAAGGTGCATCCCAGCGGCCTCATTGTCGAGGACGACGTGAGTCTTTTGGCGTCAGCTCTGCGGATTCAGGTTTGTTCCTCTTCGCTTTGTAAAGAGTTGGAATTTAGAGCGTTTAGTACCTTCCAGTTTGCAAGTTATTTCTGTTTACCTAACACAGTGTTAAACATTTCATTCTCAAAACAGCCCTGTTAGAAAATACTGTTGTGCCCATTTGACAGATGAAGAAGCAAAGACTTTGTTGTTATGTGCGGCCGAGTCATTTCCGACTCATAGTGACCCTGTGCACAACAGCCCTAAACCCTGCTCTATCCTGCGCCAACCGCACCGCCTCTGACACACCCATCCCGATTACCCCAGTCACCAAATCAATCCATCTCATAGAGGGTCTTCCCCTCCTGCGCTGTCCCTCCACCCTCCCAAGCATGATGTCCCTCTCCAAGGACCCGTCCCTCCTGGCAACATGTCCAAAGTATGTCAGACAAAGCCCCAGAATCCTTGCCTCCAAGGAGTAGCTTGGTTTAATCCTCTCCAAGATGAATCTGTTTGTTTTCCTGGCAGTCCATGGTACATTCAGTACCCTTCTCCAGCACCACAGCTCAAAAGCATCCACTCTCCTTCTGTCCTCCCTAGTCATTGTCCAACTCTCTGATGCATAACAAGCGATTGCAAAGACCATGGCCTGTATCAGGCGCACCTTAGTCTCCAGAGAGACACTGTTGCTCCTGAGTACCTTTGAGAGGTCCCTAACAGCAGACTTTCCCATCGCGATACGCTTTTTGATTTCCTGACTGCTGGTGCCAAGAGTGTTAACTGTGGAGCCGAGCAAACTGAAGCTGTGAACACTCTCAATCTCTTTGTCATCCATCCTGACGCTGCTAATTGGTCCAGTGGCGAGAATCTTTGTCTTCTTGACATTGAGCCTCAGTCCATACTGAAGGCTTCAGTCCTTGACCCTTCGCAGCAAGTGCATGAGGTCCTCCTCAGTTTCAGCAAGCAGGGTTGTGTCATCTGCATAACGGAGATTGTTAATAGATCTTCCACCAATCCTGATGCCACAATTCTCCTCATAGAGCCCAGCCTCTCGGATAATCTGCTCTGCATACATGTTGAAAAGGTATGGAGACAAAGACTTAGAAAACTTAAACTGGGATCACACAATGGTGGGATGAAGACCCAGGCTGAGCTGTATGTGTTAGCTCTCTGATGCTGTGCACCAAAACTTAGCAGCTTACAACAGCAAGCATTCACCATCTCACAGTTTGTCCGGCCTGGGAATCTAGGTGCAGCTTAGCTGGGCGCTTCTGGCTCAGGTGATTAAAATCGAGACGTCAATTAGAGCTTGCTTAGGGCCAGAGGTCTACTTCCAGGATAGCACACATTCATGGCTGTTGGCATGTCACATTTTATTCTTCAGTGGCTGTTGGAATGAGGACTATGCTTCTTTAAAGGACTGCTATTCACATGGTAGCTAACGTTCCCCGGAACAAGTGATCCAAGACAGAACAGAGAAACACCACACAATACCACTCAGAAACAAGTCTGGCTCGCACCCAGGGGGAAGTGGATGGACTCGCTTCCTAAAGATGGGCGTATTCAAGAATTGGTAAAAATCTTTACACACCACCATCATCTCTGTGACCCAAAGCCTAAGGCCTACAGCTGTCCACACAGTCAACAGAGTGTCCTGACACCTCTGAGCGTGCAGTGCTGGTGCCCCCGGCAGTGGCACCAACTAGCAGTAGAGAAACCTGAACTGCTAGTGTCTCTGTTAGAGTCAGATTAAACGGAAGCAAGTTTTAGGTTTGATGTCCTTCTTCCATACAAAGTAATAACAAAATTTTCTACTTCAAAAGGGGATCCCATTTCTCTATGAAGCATATGCTATAATTTGACTAAAAGGACATTTTATTTCCATGTATTTTTAGTTCCCTTTTTGGTCCTATATTCTATTTGTAGTGTAGTATGTATATGTTAAAAAAAAAGGAAGAGAAAAAGAAGCTATGTATATGTCTGTATCACTGTTGAACGCCCCACTTTTGTGCATGTTTACCAGCTGCACCGGGTTATATGATAGACTTGAAATAGTGTTAGGTGTTTTGAAAGCTGAGCATCCAAGTTGGTCATTTATGTGGGTATATGCTTCTGTCCCATTTCTTTTTGACTTGAGGTAAGGACCATACTCAGCATCATTTCATCCATGTTCAACGTGTCCTTAGTGAGCATTTCAGTAATCTTAACAGTACATCAGGGAGTCCTGGTGGCTTAATGGTAAGGAATGGCACTGCCAATGCAAAGATATGGCGTTCAAATCCACCTTCTGCTCTATAGGAGAAAGACGGGCAGTGAACTCCTATGTGATTTACTGCTCTTAGAAACCCAGGGTCAATGATAGGTCAATTCTGACTCAATGGTTCACAGCAGCAACAACAAAGTACATGTGTCTCACATTATTTTTATTTGGGGAAAAAAAAATGAAAAACTGCAAATGAAATTTATGTAAATAAAATTGTTCCTGGTGTTCACTTAGTTTATGGTGCAGCTTTATAATTCTTCATGGTAGACTTTCTGTGAGAAGCGCTTCCCTTGCCTAAGCAGGCACTGGTCAGCTTTTGCTCTCGTGACTTACGTTTTCCTTCCTGTTTCCCCTGAAGAACGTGGTCAGCAGTGGACGGCGGTGGCTCCGAGAGCAGCAGTACACGCGGTGGAGACTGCGCTGCCTGAAACTGCAGCCTCTCTCCCCTGTACCCAGGTGGGCCTTGCGTTTTCTTCCTACTCAAATCTACTCGGGCGAGCGCCGTCAGTATTTAAAATTATCCATGGGGCCAAGGAACCACTTAAAAGGACTGTGATTTCAATACTAGATAATTTTTTCCTAATTGAATTACTACGCTGTTGTTCTTTCTTATTTTTTCCAAAATTAAATGAGAATGAATTTACCATATACCGTTTTTGGTAAGTATGGTCATTCTCATTTACCATCTACTGTCAAATTAGGGAGCTCTGGTGGCCTTTAGAAGCAGGAGTGGCATTTACTTCCTAATAAACAACATGCCTCTGGAAACTCTATGAACTTTGATAAATGTCGATAGTTATAAAAAGGCTTCAGGCCTTTTGTTCATAGGGTCACTGTGCTTGACTAGGCGGCAATCAACAACAACAACAACAGCAGCAGCAACTGGTGGCCCAGTGGCAAGAAGCTGTGCTGAAATCCCAAAGGCACGTGGTTCGAGGCCACCAGCTGCTCCTTGGGAGAAGGATGGGCGATCTCCTCCCAGGCGATTAAATGCTTCTCAAAACCCACAGGAGGGTCAACTGTGGGTCGGTTCAGACTCGATAGTAACAATAACCGTCAAATTTACTCTATTTTTATTTTTCATTTCTGAAATCAGGATACGTGTAATAGGTGATGATGTAGCCTGTGTTCAAAGGCAGTGTCTTGCCTTCTTAGTGATTCATAAAGTCGTGATGGAGCTAGCCACAACACAGGTGAGCTGTGATTTGCCACAATGGCCCAGAAAAGTAAGAGCCGGAGAATTTTTACCCTTGAGGATTGGGATATACAGCACACTGTGAAGAAAATGCTGTCCTACAAAACACGTCCCCCATGCTGAGCTGTGGAACTGCTGCCTTCTGCGGCATAGAACCCTCTAGAACAATGCTGCCTCTCCCTCCTCCAGGCTCAAGGCTCTGGTCTTGCCTCAGACTGCCTGGGGAGTAAATCTGTTCTAACCCCTGTTCACGCACAGACAGCTGCCAGACACATGAGTGGCCTGAGCCCCAGTAAGAGAAATGACCCCAAAAATTGTGCCCCAGAAACTGCTCTCTGCAAAGCTCATCATTCCAGATACTGATGGTTCCTCTTGCAGAATGAGAGCTGGGGTTCACTTCTGGCTGGTAAAACAGAACCATTCAGGACTTGTGCCCACCAGCACGTCGGAGCTACTAAAATCTCCAGTGTTTGAAGTTGAGCTTGGCGCATTAGGTCATTTTACCAGTGGTCATGTAATTAATCAACTATTTTGAAATGTGATTTTGGACTTGAAATAGGAAATAAAGAGGGAAAGTGTGGATGCAGATGAAACAAACACATTTTTGAATAACCAAGAGACACAATGGCTGGCCCATTCGGAGAGCGTTATGCAACAGCCCTTTTATTCGTGGTTAACCACCACGACAGTGACCCGTGCAAAGCATTTGGCTCTCTGGTGACTTGGAATGGTGGGAGGCCTTTGGATACACTCTGGTGGACAGTGCTTCCTGCTCTGTGCCATGGGTTTAGTCACTGGACTTGCACGCCACCATCCCCATAGAAATCTTGGACTGGTTGACTTTTTCAGGGAGGCTTTTTCCAAGATAATGCATTCCTTTCTCCTGCACATTAATTGTTAGCAGTTGCACTCTGTAATGCTGGGCAGAAAGGACCGTGGAGTAACTGGGTTCATTTGATTGTTGGCGGGGTGTGTATGGTTGTTACTTATGTGAACAGCGACCACCTATGCTGAGAAGACTCTTGTCTCTTGTATGTTTTCCTCCCAGTGATATTGAGATTTCAAGAGGACAGACTCCCAAAGCTGTGGAGGTCCTGGCCAAGGAGATAGGCTTGCTGGCAGATGAAATTGAAATCTACGGCAAAAGCAAAGCCAAAGTGCGTTTGTCTGTACTCGAAAGGTTGAAAGACCAAGCAGATGGAAAATACGTCCTAGTTGCTGGGTAAGCCAACTTTTAAATCGTCTTTTGAGAAGATGTGTTTGAAAAACTCTGTCCTCTTTTCTTTCTATCCTCATTCCCCTCACATCCATCCTGCGCTCAAATTTGAAATTCCCATGTCTGTTGCACTTGGCATTCCTTCATTAACATGAGGTAAGTTTTCTCCCAGCGCCAAACTAATTTGTCTCCGTCACAAAACATAAAGCATAACGAATTGTGAATCTTTTGTTTCTCATAATACGATACAATCATCACAGCTCATCTACCTTCATATTTTCACCCTTTCAGGGGGATGGAAAGGCAAAGTAAGAATTGAACGTCACATATTTGAACTGTGCACATAACACATGCTTTCTATTTTGAAACATTCTAATGGAAAATTGACAGGCTTTCCCCTGTACAGTGGCCCCATATTTCCCTGTTAATATCCTTGATTTTTCCTATTTAGAGAATCTCGGTATGAAAAATTTGTTTTTCTAACATTTCAGCATTAATGCTCAGAGTATTGCTCATTATACGAAAGAGTTCCATAAAAAGACTTGTTTATCGTTTTTTGAAAATGAGTGTGTGTTAGTTCCTCTCCTTTTTAAAAGACTATATATCCAAGTACAAGGTTCTTGCTAGTTAAAACGCTGATGGGAAACAAGGGATTTCAAATATTTCTTCACTGTGACCTGAGGGAGCTCAAGAGAACATGTAACTTCCTTTGTTAGTCTTGACATTTTATTGCACTGGCTGTGGTTTATGCTGTAAGTACAGGGGCCCTAGTGGCCTAGTGAGTATGGAGTTTCCCTGCCAGGCCACAGGCAGGAGGTTCAAATCCACCAGCTACTCCTTGGGAGAAAAATTGGCAGTCTCTTCTCATGTGATTTACAGCCTCCAAGATCCCATTGTCGACTGTATGTTTTACATATATAATGTTTACTATGCTGTTGTCATTGAGATAATTCTGATGCAGAGTAAACAGTATGAGGCAGACGACGTCCTCATAAGGTTTCATAGACTGTCGTCTTTATGAGAGCAGATCTCTACAGATTTTTCTGCCGTTGAATTGATGGGTGGATTTGAACCAGCAACCTTTCTTGAGTAGGCAACATGGGGTCACGGTTGCTATGTTCATATCAGATCAATTCAGATTCATATTGACGCTGAAGGACAGAGTAGAACTGTCCTGTTAGGCTTCCGTGGCCGTAATCTTTGGAAGCCAATTGTGGTGTCTTTCTCACATGGAGTAACTTTTTGTTGTGTCAGAACCAACTTAGAGCTGACCCTCCAGCGTGTCACGGGACGAGGTGGCCCATCTTTCTCCCACAGAGCAGCCAGTGCATTCGAACCACACGTATACCTTTAGGTTGGCTGCACGCGTCCTTACCACTAGGCCACCAGAGCTTCCTGCGGAAAATACTTAGTGGGTTGAGCCATCAGCCTTCTAGTCTGCATCCAGCTTAACCATCACACCCCCAAGCTATGCTGGTGGCCTAGTGGCAAGAACCAGTGCTGCAATCCCAGAGGCATGTGGTTCAAGGCCACCAGCTGCCCTGCAGGAGAAGGATGGGCAGTCTCCTCCCGTGCAATTAACTGCCTCTGAAAACCCGCCAAAGGGTCAGCTATGGGTCAACAGTACGCACAACAACATGATTGACGAAAGGCCCTGAGAACAGATGCTTTCGCTCAACAGAAACAGAAAGGTAGCCTCTCACTGCCGTGTCAACCACCAGCGAGCCTACTGTCGTTGGGTGAGTTCCTACACAGTCCCTCCATCGAGGTTCTGAGGCTGTGGACAGGAGGAGACTGCTCACCTGCCTCCCACGCAGCTGCTGGTGGATTTGAACTGCTTTGGCTTAGCGCACAGCACCCTGCACCACTGCGATGCCTTTAATTGTTCGTAGCAGCACTTTATTTTTAAAAATTCCTTCTTATAGTATCAAGAATAATGCAAACTCGTTTTATAATAATTTTTTAAACAAGGAAGTAAATGCCATCCTCAGCCCTAAGGAAGGCTCTCTCAAGGCCCTATCTTTTTTTTTTTTTTAAATAATTTTAATGAACATTTACAGAGAATTTGGATTTCCATTCATTCATTGCTGCACTTCTCTATCCGCCCAGCCCTCTCCCCCCACCCCCCAAGGCCCTATCTTTTTTTCCCCTTTTTTTAAAAATTTATTATTTTGTGTGTGTACCATCAAATTGTATCTGGCTGGTACAGGAGGAGATTGTCCCTCCTTCCCCAGCAGACCATCTGATGGATTTGAACCACACACCTCTGGGATTGCAGTGCAGCGTCTTGCCATTAGGCCACCAGAGCTCCCTCCAAGGCCCTATCTTGAATAAGTGAGGCCACACAGAATGCCATCTGTTAACTATTTAATTATCCGGTAGACACTTGGACATTCATCTAGCGTTTTCCCCACATACCTGCTTCCCTCCACGTGGCTTCAGGTTTTCTGGTGACGGGAGTCACTGGTTTCCTCACTTGTTGGGAATGGACAGAATTTAGAAAAACTCAGAAGACTCTGTTTTGCAAAGAAGGAATCATTCAGCTGCTTTCTGTACTGACGAGCTGATTTGTGTATTTTTATGGTTGATGTGTTGGAATTAGTTAGACTGGCTCAGGACAGGGCAGGCCTCAGAACTGCTGTCTGTAGGGTTGCTGTTGGTCGCAGGCAACTCGATGGCACATAACAACAACATGATCGTGAATATTGGAAGTTGACACAAATCTACACAGGGTGCAGCCCGTCCATGGAACACAGAATTACACGCCCAAAGAAAAGGCTATGATGGTGGTTTGATCAACAAACTTCCTAGCTTGAGAGGAGCCCTGGTGGCACAGTAGTTAAGCACTCAACCTCTTACTGGAAAATTGATGCTCTGACCCACGCAGTGGCTTGTGGGAGAAAGACCTGGTGATTTGGTCCTGTCGAGGTTTCCAGCCTGGAGAACCCAGTGGGGCATTTCAACTCAGTCACGTGGCATCACTGTCTGTGACAATTGACTTGGTGGCATTCAACAACAGCAAAACCAAAAGCTCTGGGGGTGCTGTCATGTGTTAGGTGTTCTAGCTTGAAGTCACGTGTGGCTCCAGCCATGTGCCAGTGGTGGTGGACACGGGGTCACAGCCACGTGGTCCTCGTGCCTAGGAGAACATTCTCCCACATTCTTCCTTTGCTGGCATTGACCTGTATAACTGAGCTGAAGGGGGCATGATGCCTGTAGGTCTAAGTGAAGTACCAAGTGCTCATGTGCAGACTAAATCATGGAGAGCACTGATCACTTTCTGAATCTGTGCTGTCGATTCCTTACTTAGAAAAGATACGGAAGAATGGAAATGGAATTGTGGGCCTTTCGGCACCATTGAAAAAGAGAAAGTGGTTGAGGTTGAATTTGAAGCCCTGGTGGCTTAGTGCATAATGTGTTGGGCTGCTAACTGGAAGGCCTGCAGTTCTAATCCACCAGCTGTTCCAGAGGGAGGGAAATGGGCAGTCTCCCCTGTATGGATCGATCTGTTGCTTAAAACCCTGATGGAAGCATCCTGTTTTGGTTTCTGTGCATCTGTAGCAAAGTATGACAATGTTTTGCCGCATGGCGGAGAAAGCTAAGTGTGCCTTTATAGACGTGGACAGCCTTAGAGAAATCCAGTGAGACAATTCTCCATCCACAGGGCTGCTTTCTCAGAAGGGGTTTGACGTATCAGCTGTGAGGGTTTTTTTTTGTTTGTTTGCCTTCATTAAGAGATGTAGGAACTTCTCTCCCAAAGTGCGACAAGCAAACAAAAAGAACCATATCTATATTGGCTTGTTTGCTTTCTGTATGGTCAGTGTATATAGCCGCCCCATTGCCGTCGAGTCAGAAGCAGTTCACACCTCACTCTCTAGCTGATTTGCAGAGCTGGAAATCCCGTGAGAGGAGCCCACTCATCTTTCTCTTGCAGTGTTGGTGGTGAATTTGAACTGCTTGCCCTTGGTTGACAGTGTCGCTCCTTACTCTCCAGGGCTCAGAGTTCCTGAAACAGGGATGTGTGTGTGTGTATGTGTGTGTGTATGCACACTCATATCTCGTTAGGTGCCATCAAGTCGACCACTACTTACAGCAATCCTAAGAACAAGAGATCTGATCCTGGCCTTAACCTGCGTCATTCTTACCATCTCTGTCCTGCTCTAGCCTATCTCGTTGAGGGTCTGCCTCTCTTTCATCAACCCTCTTATCGTTTCTGGCATGATGCCTCTAAGGACTGACTCCTCCTGAAACTAGAACCATAGTATGTGAGACGAAGTTTCACCGTCCTTGCTCTGATGAACACTCTGTGATTCCTTTAAGACATGGTTATTTATTCTTTTGGCAGATCACGAATATTCAGTCCTCTTCTCCAACATCACAATGCAAAGGCAGCGATTCTTCTTCTGTCTTGTTATACACTGTCCAACTTCCAGATGGTAGGAAGCAGCTGAAAGCGCCATGGTTTGTTTGCATCAGGCCCTCCTTAGTCTTTAAACTGGCATCATTGCTCTTTTAGCACTGTGGATAGGTCCGTGACCAACTTCCCCACTGCAGCCCACACATTAAAGTGTTTCAGCTTCCTCTGGTATCGACTCTCTGTTAGTTCACTGCTTGCAGCCAGTTTACAACACAGTCCTTTGCAGTTGGAAGTAATGTCAATTAAAAATAATAATCACTTCCACATTTTTACTTTTGATTCCCTTAGCTACAGGAAAAAGTCATTTTTAAGCCATATGCGTAGCTGTAACTTCCGTACAGATGAGCTTTGGGATTCAGTACTTTGTTGTTGTTTTGGGATTTTTTTTTTCTCCCTTAAGTTTTGGGGATTTCATATATTATAGACTCTGCAAGTTTTGAAGACTTTTAAAAATTGATTTTTGGTTTTTGTGGGTTTGTTTGTCTTTTTTTAAAATGGCTTCTTGTAAAAAATATAAGAACAAGTATAAGGAAGGCAAAACACCTAACCTTGTTACTCAGCATGTTAAAAATTTTTATCATTCTTCCAG